TTTTGAGTAGTAAACTAAGAGATTCTTGTTTTGTTGCTTGCTTTCATTTTACAGCTACATGTCGGTAATTTTGTTGACCACTGTCTGTGAAATTTTTAGGTAAATATAATTTTTAATGGTCTTTATGGAAAAATTATTTCTCATGGTAGTTGGCAGCTGAGTTTTTGCTCGTAATTTCAGTTTCCTTTCGTACGATAATTTCCCACACCAACTTTGCATAGATAAGCCGAATTTGCATAGATAAGCAGAAATTTTTAACTGCTTTTCCACTTTTATTTCCTAAGCTGTTCTACTTTAATTAAGAGAGGTATATTTTCAATATCAGAGCTGTGAATTCTCACCTCAGTTTCCTACTTTTAATGGCCTAGAGTTTATTGAATCCTCTTCCTTAATTTGACAATTCTCACACCAGTTCATACTTAAGCAAGTACATTGTAAAGCTTTTTCGATTACATAGACGACTGCGTGCCGATGACATTGATTACGAAGTTGAGTATACTAAAGGTCATGTCAGTTGTTGGCCTGACTTAGTAAAAAAGTCTACCGCGGAACTAAAACGCTGTCTTATCCTTGACGTCCGTAAAAGCTCGCTTGAAGTAGATCGCTGTGTACTAGGAAATCATGACGAGTTTCCGTTCTCACTGCCGAGTTGTCTCTACAGAGCTATTTTCCCCCCATTGTTGTCGTGCCTTCTGCGAGAGTTCAGTTGTGCACGAAAACCTTATCTTTACACAATAGCGTCTGAAGACTATTACGAAAATGCTGAGTAGCGTAACAGCACACCACAAAAAATTTTTAATGATTTAAAAAAATAGAAAAAAATTGTCATCCAGCCGTCAATATAACGAACAATTTGGTTGTTTTTACGCAAATTCGTTGAATCGAAGTTTTCGATATAACGAACCCTCGATATAACGAACCCTCGATATAACGAACCAGTTTTGCCACTCCCTCGGCATTTCGTTAAATCGAGGTTCGACTGTATGTAGCAATTCAAATTGCACAGTTTCGGCATTACACGAAAAAATTTTCTGTCAGATAGCTGTAAACTTAGATATTAACTTTCTCTTTGTCTTCCGAGTACTGTAAAACATGTTTGTCTCAAGGACATCTGCGGTCTTCTGTTGACCAATTTCATGTCTCACAGTGAAAATCTTATTTGTCTCGAACTATTCTCCTTCTTTGTTATGATTTCTGTTACCTTTTTATTCCCGAGCTCTTCCCTCACCCATGTTGTGAATGTTGGGAATCGTTGCAAAAATCAACCAAGAAAGTATTCTCTTAAAAAAATATACATTTTGAGAGTGTCTCCGCGTGTATCCTTGCATTGATAATAGAGAACAATTCAAGTATAAAAAGTAATTAATAAAAGATATCAGATATATGTTATAATTACCCGACTGTATTCAACAGCTTGTGTTTCTTAAATTTCGATGTAACGTTTGACATCAAACTTAAAACGGTTTTCTTTACTTTTAAAATTCAGATTTAACTTTTGCGTTCAAGATGTGAAACGTACCTCCAGGAGACTAATAACTGAACTTCTAGTTTGATATTTTTTCGATATTTGCTCTTCATTCTTTTAAAACAGACCCCACAGGTAGACTTTTTTTGTTATGCCGACTAAGAAATTGAAGATGATTGACGTTGCATGGTGATAGCCAGTTGTTCGTGCTTAGTTTGGTGTTTTGTTGTTCCAAAGTTAAACAAGCTCAATCCGAATGCAACTTCTGCAATTCTTTGAGTAAATTTCGTAGCTCCTGAGGGCAAATTTTTTAACGAGACCACAACACAGCAACACAGCGGTCAAACGTGGAGCATGCCCAAGTGAATCATTTTTGGCCGACTCCGTCAATTTCCTGTGAAACATTTCAAAGGAAAACAGTTGTCGCGCAAAGCTATAAGAAACAATCGAAACGTTCGTAAAAATAAGGGCAAGTGACCAGACATTTCAAGAAGTTAGAAAAATAGAAGTCATGCCGTCAAGAGACTTACTTTGGTAAAGTCATTCTGTTGCTCTTACTTCCTCACTTCAACACCTGGGTTCCCTGTGGTACTGCTGTCTTTTGGACCCAGGTCTCCCATTTGGTCAGTCATTAGTGTCCACGAAACCTGTCTCGCTGTCCACCCTTAACCAATATCTTATCGAAAATGATAGGTTTCCTCGAGATATGTGTTTTTCTGTTTGTCGTCTTGCACATCTTGAGGATTTATTTTGCCGATTGCGATGCAGTACTACATTTCTACGAGAGATTTGCAAAGCCACCGGATAAAAGACTACGAGGTAAAGTGATTTGGATTACTGGTGCATCGAGCGGAATCGGCGAACATTTAGCGTACAAGCTAACTGAATTTGGCTGCAAACTGGTACTATCAGCGAGGAGAAAAGACGAATTAGACAGAGTGAAAAATCAGTGCAAGAGTAAGTTATGCTCTAAGTTATTTTAGTTTTTAAAACTTCATTCTACACGAGGTGAGGGAAAGCAGTCGCGTGGGGGGACGGGAGCTTAAGAATTTTTTTTACTTCCATTAATTTCTCAGACTTTTTCAAACCAAAAGAAGGCGACTCACTTACATGTCATTGAATAAGTTTATTGTGTTATGCCTCGATCTTCAAAACCTACCGACACATGTAAATGAGGTGGACCAAAGTGGCAGGGTATTCTGCAGTTGCTCCAAAAATGATTGAAGTTCAGTTATATATTGTAACTATCAATAATAGTCTTTGTTTTCTTGTTACATAGGCTTGGCAGGAAAGCTTTTTCCATTAACATTTGAGGAAGACTTTCTTGTTGTCCCATTGGATATTACAAATTTCGCTTCACACGAAGACTGCGTTACCAAAGCTCTTCAACAGTTTGGCAAGGTCATGATCTCTGCTTTGATGTGTTCTGCTGTAAATTTCAATGATATTCGAACCAAAGCTTACATGACTATGTTTTCTTAATTGCAGATTGATTTTCTAGTGAAT